TAATGTCTTTTAAAAGTAATTAGTTACATTACAATATTACTGTCTCTGAATTGTAATGCGTTACACTACTTTTGAGTTACTTTTGAGTTACTTTCACCAAAATATCCACATAAGTATTACAAAATGCCAAAATGTAGTTTATTGCTGCTCATTCTACATCCAGTGGAGGGTATATGTGGTAGGTCTATATAGCATAAAATTATAAAATCATATTTAGATACCGGTATGTAGGTCTACATTAATGTTACATTGTAGTTTAGGTTAAAAAAATGTAAGCACACATCACATTATTACATTCATAAATAACACCGGTAAATAAAGCGAAATATTATCATGTACAAACAATAAAGACAATACCTAGCCTATAGGCTATTTTGAATGGTTTCAGAAGAAAACAAGAATGAAAAATATAAGTTGCTAAACAAGCCAAAATGAATTAGGCTGGCTAATTCAATGTGAAACTGAAAGCAAATGGCGTTCTCGCGCAGCCTACCTCTCTCATTCGGCATTAATCCAATTAAATGTGTCCATATTTGCGATGTATTTGAATGCAAAACTATTATTTATTATGTAAACCAGGCTTACTTAACACGCTTAAAAAAACATACTCTTCACATGAGCAAATGTGTTTGGCCCGAGCTCCGACTGAACGGCACGGCTTGTACGCAGTACGCCCTATTTAAATTAACCAGTGTATCTATGTTTGGTTGACTGTATTTTTAATAATTTAATAATGAACAGGCTGCAACGTTTGCAATGCTTTATGTGTGTGCGCGAGGCGCCGGCGCGATCGAACAGCGGAAACAAACAACAAAAAAATACTCCGTCATTTTTGGTCATACAGATCATTCGAAACTGCAATGTGTTTACTTTATTTCTGTCATCTCGGTTTCCTTTCCGTGGACTTTCGTAGAGCGCCACACAAATAGCCTGTGAACCAAACTCAGCAGCATAGCCTATCTCTCAGTCTTTTCCTTTCATTTTGTTAATCTGTTAATTAGGCTAAGTCAAATATTTTGCTTATTCATTAATTTTATATGTAGATTTTGTTATTTTTAGTTAAAATTAATTTTTGTTGCTTGTCTGCGCTCGTCCGCCGCCTTTTTTCACTTCTCCGACCCCGCAGCTCTCTC